ATTCTGTACGCTTTTTTTGCTTCATTTCCTTCATACATTGTACAACTTTTAGTCGAAAGTTAATTAAATATATGCGCGTGACATCACACAGTGATCATCTGGTATAACTGCACGATTAAAACAATAAGAAATGTTGAAGAGTTTAGGCCTTTTGACGGACGGAAACTCTGGTAGCCCAGTGATTTAAGCAGGCAGCTAACTTCGTCATGTAGCCAGGCAGCCACTAGCGACCATCAGATTAATTTTTAAGAGTTTATTTGTAAGGAATTTATTTGTTTACGGATTGATATCAGTTAGGGAATCACTGAAAACCAGTCACAAGGAGTACTGGAAAGCTGTACAAAACCCGGTGGGTGTACACTGTCGATAAATCCCAAATTAGGACGAAACAGCTTTCCAGTACTCCTTGCTGGTTTTCAGTAATTCTCTATCTAGTATCAATTCATGATCAAACCTGAAACAAATCAAATCCCCATAGACAAACTCTTGAAAATTGATTAATTTTATTTTAGTTACTGCCATGATTAACAAACACGAGAGAATCAGGCAGGCTTTAGACCAGGGAGAGGGGGAATCAATCATATATTCACCCTTAGACAGATTCTAGAACATAGGCATACTTACCGGCATCCAGAAATCGTTATATTTTTTCACTTAAAGGTGGCATTCGATTCTGTCGACCGAGAGGTACTATGGCGATGCTTGGCTGTAAAGGGAATAATCTTGTTGACGTAGAATATACAGATGATATGGTCATTCTATGTGAAGACGCTGAAAGAACGCAGAGTCTTCTGATTACCTAGCGTAGCAAACTGAGAATGTTCGGCATGCGATTCGCTCCCACAAAATGTAAGATGACGCTACGGTACTGGACTACATCGACTCTTAGCTTAGATATAGGGAGTGAAGTAGTAGGGCATGTTGACTGCTTCAGTTATTTGTAAAGTTGTATCAGCCCCAACGGGTTGATCTCTGACGAAATCTCAGAACGGATACAGAGGGCTAGTTTCGCATATGCGAGTTTACGCCGTCTCTATTGCAGACGTGATATCCGGCTGGTTGTACTGCTCAGCATTCAGCTCTGTCCTCCTTTATGGCTGGCTGTGAGACATGGCCATTGAGAGTGGAAGACATGAAAAGCCTGGCTAGCTGTTTTTGACCATAGATTCCTGCGTTCTATATCCCGAGTTAAGTGGTATAATAAGGTGAGCAATATTGAGGTTAGGCGTCAAGTGCTAGGTAAGAAGGGTAAATCAATCGACGAGGCTATGAAGTTACATCGATTGATATGGCTAGGACGTGAGTCATGCATGCCTAGCCATCACCTTCCTCAACAGTGAGCAATTTTAGCTGACATAGGGTCAGGCTAGAAGACAGCTTGTGGTGGCCAAACCAAAAAGTGGCTTCACCAGTCAATCAAATCCACAGCAGTTGGTCTAATCCACGTAGGAAGGTGTAGACTTTCTGGTTGGGGTCCTCGGGATGGGAAAAACCAATGACTGGGGACTTGAAGTGTTGCACATCGGTGCAAAGTTCTATGTTGAAAACAGACAGACAGACAGGTGATTAACGTAATTGTCAACAAACTTGTGATTCTAGTGACATATCCCTACAAACATTTCCTTTATTGTAAAGACAAATTTACCGTATATATTCGATTGTACGGTATGAGAATGATATCACTGAAAAGAGTAACTGTTTGCTGAACGCTATATCTTTTAAAATTAAATGACAGCAATATTATTATTGTGTTAAGAAGAATGGAAAAGGCCATTTATTTACTGTTTCCCAGTTAACAGCTTGATGGTTACCATTTTTGCCATTACGTAAAATGCATTCCAAACAAGGAATCGTTGAGTTTTCCTATCTGGTCATGCTTACATAGTGTTTTTGGTCACTATTTCTAGTCCTAATTAATGAAATGCAAGGGAAGAGTTGTGAATACCTTTCACAAGATTATTGAGTTCAAGAAACATCTGACTGAGGCTAATTAATTGGTTGAGGTATTGCCTTTTCCCGTTTTACTAAACTACTGACTTATTTAAGTAGTATATCTCATTAATGTATAATTTTCTACTAAAACGTCTAGTATTTTTCACGTTTTGGAGCATGATTTAATCTGCTTAAAGACCCTACTCAGATGGTTGGAGGCAGTCAGAAGGAAGCCTTTCTTCATGTAAATCTCGTGCTTGTGAGTGGCACTCACCAGTCAACAAGGCGTATCTGCAGTCTTGAAGGGACCAGTGATGCAGTCATAGACGTTAACATTGAGCTATTTAGCCTCGCTATCGACCTCTTATAGGATTGTAATAGATACGTTGATTAGACACGAGGTAGTAATTGATGTCATGTGTCCAGTCTTTCTTTCGGTGCAAACTGAATTCTATCAGTCGAAATTTGCACGATTTATTGGAAATCTAATCATTTAATGTGAAGGATACAGACTTGACTTCATTTCCTAAATGATGCTGGCCCATATAATACTTATGATCCTGGTTCACTTGGTTTCTATTAGAAGCATTTATGATAAGGCTAAGGTTATACTCCGAAGAGTTTTGAAGAAATTGCTTTTAACGCATTAGGATAAAGTAGTAACAACAGACACAGTAGGATGAAATGAACTTATTCTTACTTATTGAAAATGCATCTGTAGAAAACCTTGTGACTAGTACATTTCCTACAGTTAGATGTATTATTGTCTACCTGACAATATGTCTGTTAGTTCATTTAGAAGTCGATAGATAACATTCTCATGTAAACTCCAACTTTTCGCATATACCAGTTTACATCTTCTGTGGCCTAGACGTGATATACGGCTGGCTATCGATCAAAGGACGTGTGTATTGCTCAGCAGTCCGCCCCGTCCTCCTTTATGGCTGTGAGACCCGGCCATTGAGAGTGGTGGTATAATAAGGTGAGCAATATTGAGGTTAGCCTTCCGTCGAGTGCTAGGTAAGGAGGGGAAATCAATCGACGAGGCTGTGAAATTACATCGACTGAGATGGTTAGGACATGTGTTACGTATGCCCAGCCTAGCCATCGCCTTCCTCGACAGTGGACAATGTTAGCTGATATAGGGTCAGGCTGGAAAAGAGTTAGCGGCGGTCAAACCAAAACATGGCACTAGTCAGTGAAATCTACAACAGTTAGTCTAAGCCGCATAGGAAGGTGCAGACTTCCTGGTTGGGGTCCTCGCGACGGTAAAAACCAATGTTTGGAAACAATTGGTGATATGGCTCAAAATTGTTCACAGTGACAGCGCAGATTCATCCACTTCTTGTGACTTATGATTTCCAATGAAACTGTTTTGTTCTTCTTTAAAACTACTCTTCTTGTCTCACACCTCTGTTTACTGTCTCTATGTTGCATTTCTTCTACTTTCTTTGTGTGCTACATGGAATGTGGCTACCTGAACTGCCGCACATCGGTGCAAAGTTGTATGTCGAAAACAGACAGACAAACTCCAACTAGGTATATCAATGGACCAATGGCAGACCCAACCAGTCAGGAAGTCTACATCTTCCTACGTGGCTTAAACTAACTGTTGTGGATTTCATTCACTGATGAAGTCATGTTTTGGTTTGACCACCACTGGCTCTTTTCTAACCTGACCCTATGTCATCTAACATTGCCCGTCGAGGAGGGTGATACATGGCTAGTCATGCATGCATGCGTCACACATGTCCTTAACATCTCAATCGATGTAACTTCACAGCCTCGTTTATTGATTTTCCCTCTTTACCTAGCACTTGATGCCTAACCTCAATATTGCTCACCTTATTATACCACTTCACACGGGTGATAGAACGCAGGCGCCTGTATCATTTACAATGCTTACTTCACTATTTCATTTGTTAATTTCAAGATCACAAACATTAATCTCCTTGATTACATCCACTTATCATTCAATAATACATAATTAATACAATTGTTTCTATTGAGCAACTTGGAAAATATAACTTATCATTTAATGAATCCTATGCATACTTCAGATCGTGGGGAGCGAGAAGACAGACATATATTAGATGAATAATAAGCACCTGGAAGATATGTACTTTGCAGAGGATTTATGTATAAAATATTCTGGAAAATCTGCTGTAATATCACAGAATTTCAAAGATCTACAGGCAAAACCCAGCAAGTTGGCAGAAGAGCTAGTTAAGATACAACCTTCAGGTGAATATAAGGAAAACAGAGGGAGTCAAGATACTTAATCAACAACAACAAGAACAAGCGCCAATCACCATTAGTGGAAGAAATTTAAGGGAAGTCGCTTCTATCACTTATCAAGACAGAATCATTTCAACTACAGGCGACATGAATGAGGATGTCAAAGGTAAGATCCGAAAAAAACGACAGACATGCATTACTCTGAAACCAGTGTGGAGATCTACACAACTCAACGTAGGGAAAAAACATTCGGATTTCCAACAATTATGTCAAGTCAGTGATTCTGTATAGTTCAGAGAATTGACTCGTGAATGACGAAGGGCATTCTCAGAAGGTTACTTCAGACTTGTATTAACAGCTACCTTCTCTAAGAAACTGAAGATCAGACAGCCAGGAAAAATTGGCAACAAAGAGTTCTGACGGGCGACAAACCATACTCAAGTCTATTGTCCGACTAACAATTATGCCAAAGGAGATGGATTGGGTATACGCCAAGAAGATCATTGGGTGACACCACACTAAGATCTTGAATGTAACTAGTTGGGCGTTGGTCAGATGGTGACATGGAGATCGCGTGAGGAGATGAAATCTTATGCTCACTCATGTATCCAGCCATAAAGGACATCAGAGAACAGAGTGATATAGGGGGTTGTTGCTGAAGTCCTATGTTTCAGTCTGAACCCAAGTGAATAGGGATGACAACAGCATTTTAGACTACTTTTAGCTGGCTAAGTCTTGGTACGCAAAGGTTGAACCAATTACCGACAAAACAAAAAAGTTAATTCTGTAAAGATATATATATATATATATACTTTATATATTGTAAACTATTAACCTTCTGTACAATCAGCGATCATATTACTAGTACTCGATATTATAATATCATCGAGTAGTTCTTTAATATTCTCTTTACAATCTGGACAATACTTTTGATTAGATGACTCCCGTAGCGATAAAATATAATCCTCGCCGAAATTTTGATTCCATTTGGTTTTGAGTGATGAAACCACTTTTTTCCATAAATCATTTGATTGTTTTACAGACTCCTTCAATAATACAAAAAAGGATAAAATAGCAAATTAATTGAGAGAAAAGAAAGGTTCAAATATATATATATACATATATAACCTCGCCTAGACAACTAGATTGCTAGTTTTCTAGCCGGTCCCCAGCCCGGATAAAGAGGGAGGTTTGGGGCGTGGTGCTAGCAACTCCGTCCCCAACATTTAACCAAATCACTACAGAAACTTCAACGCACAGATATATTAAAAATTCTAAAAATATAAACAGTAACCTTATTTTTCGCTGGAGTCGGGGAAGTGAAATGACACAGGCTGATGAAGGCCTTAGGGAAGTCAGTCAGCCGATGTGCCTTCTTTCGATGAAAGCAAAAATAAGGATGGGTACGTGGAATGTTCGTACAATGTACAAAACTGGAAAGGCTGCCCAGATAGCTACCGAAATGAGGAGATATAGAATAGAAGTGCTGGGAATCTGTGAGAGCAGATGGGACGGATGTGGTAGGTGCCAACTATCGAATGGGGAGATAGTAATCGATTCCGGCCACCGAGAGGATACTCACGAGCACACCGAGGGAGTGGCCATTACGATGTCACAAACAGCAGACAAAGGTCTCATGCAGTGGGAACCAATCTCCTCCAGGATAATGACAGCCAGGTTCAACTCAAAAGGAAGGAAGGTTACAATCATCCAATGCTATGCGCCTACAAATGTCTCAGAACAAGAAAAGAAGGAGGCGTTCTACAGACAACTACAAGCAATAATGGACAACGTCCCAAATGGAGATATCAAAATCCTGATGGGTGATATGAATGTCAAGCTCGGAGGAGACAACACAGGAAGAGAACTCACCTTGGCTCGTGAGGCCCTTGGTGAAATGAACGACAATGGTGAACTCTTCTCAGACTTCTGCACCTTCAATGATTTGGTGATTGGTGGCAGTGTGTTCAAACACAAGGATATACACAAGACGATATAGATTTCACCAGATGAACACACCAAAAACCAGGTAGACTTCATTTCAATCTCAAGGAATTGGAGACAGAGCCTACTGGACACAAGGTCGAGGAGAGGAGCAGTTGTGGGTTCAGACCACTATCTAGTACAAGGGACTTTCAAGGTGAAGCTAAAAGCCTTGAGGATAGCTGGGTATAGGCCATAATGCAAGTTCAACACTTAAAAACTGAAGGACACAATCACAAAGGACACTTTCACTGCAACTGTCAGAGCAAAGCGGGAAACACTACGCGACATCACTGAAGAATCATACGTGAAAGAACATTGGAAGTCTCTGACGGCGATTCTCAAAGAAACGTGTTCAACGGTTCTAGGAAGAAAGAAGAGACTTTTGGAAATTAATAGAAGAGAGGAGAATGGTGAAAGAGAAAATGACTCAATGCAAGGATGGACAGGAGAAGGAGACGCTCAACTTACAAAGCACTGGACAAAGAAGTGAAGAAAAGTGCTAGGAAGGACAAAAGACAATTCTACGACAACCTGGCCACTGAAGCTGAAAAGGCAGTAGGCAATAAGGACCTGAGGACATTATATCAGATAACTAAGTCTCTATCCGGGGAGAGATCAACACAAGTGAAACCTATACAAGACAGCCAAGGGAAGCTCATTACCAAGGAAGAAAGACAGATTAAACAGTGGGCGGATCACTTCAAAGGGCTCTTGAACCGACCATCACCTGCAACCCGTCCAGAAATACCAACAACAGCACGTACATAACTGCAAGTTGACACCAATCCTCCGACGAAAGCTGAAGTCTTGAACACAATCAAGCTTCTGAAAGCTGGAAAAGCAGCTGGACCAGATGGAATACCCCCTGAATCACTGAAAGCGGACCCAGAGACTACAGAAGACATGCTGACTCCATTATTGCAAAAGGTCTGGAAGGAGGGAAAGGTGCCAACTGACTGGAGGAAAGGTTACCTCGTGAAACTACCAAAGAAGGGCGACTTAGGACTCTGCAAGAACTGGCGAGGAATCATGCTCCTGTCGACGCCAAGTAAAATCCTGAGTCGCATCATCCTGGAGAGAATTAAGGACGCACTGGATACAGAACTCCGACCAGAACAAGCTGGCTGCATTCAGGAAAGGCAAATCATGTTCTGACCAAATTGGGACTCTACGCATCATCATCGAACAAAGTATGGAATGGTAATCAAACCTCTAATCAACTTTATAGACTTTGAGAAGGCCTTTGACAGCGTTGACCGTGAAGTAATTTGGAAACTACTCGAGTACTACGGCGTACCCCAAATATTCATCAACCTTATTCAACAGCTGTACGACAACGGCACATGTCAAGTGATCCACAACGGAAAACTCAGCGAGGCGTTTGGAGTAAACACAGGAGTAAGACAAGGGTGCTTATTATCACCAATGATATTCCTAATTGTGGTGGACTGACTGGATTATGCGTCAGACAGTGAGTGGGAAACAAGAAGATAGGGATATCCTGGACCGACCGACGTGAAGAACCTAGAAGACCTGGATTTCGCGTGTGGATCATTTATGCTTGATGTCACACAAAGTCGGACTTACAAGCGAAAACCGACAAACTGGTCGAAGAAGCAGCAAAGACAGGACTCTAAGTGAACATAGACAAAATAACCAGCCAACCAACAACAACAGCAGCAACATCCAGCGTCAGTCACCATCAACGGGAGGGATTTGAAAGAGGTCACTTCACTCACTTATCTTGGGAGCATTGTCTCAACTACAGGCAGTCGGAACGGACGAGGATGTCAAATCGAGCGAGAATCGGGAAGGCGAGAAACACATCAACATCATCAACCTGAAACCAATCTGGAAATCTTCGCCACTCAACTCAGCATCAACAACAAAATTCGTTAGGATTTTCAATACAAACGTCAAGTCAGTCAGTTGGTCTATACGGATCAGAAACTTGGCGGGGGGTCACAAAGAATATTTCCAACAGCCTGTTGCAGACCTTTATCAACCAACAACTGTCTTCGCTGGCTTTATACTGAAGATTAGATGGCCGTGCCGGAAAGAATCACCAACAAGAAACTATGGGAAGAAAGAAAACAATAACCAATTGCCCAACAAATATGCAGGAGAAAGTGGAGGTGGTTTGGACACTTGGGGGTGAGGAGACCACTGGGTGACATCGCGCGCGCGTTAGGTCATTGCTCGAGTGGAACCTGAAAGGGAAGCGGCGATTGGGACGTCAGTGCAAGAGTGACATAGACGAGATCGTGTGAAGAGAAGTTGAGACAGTATGGACCAACACGGATGCAGGTGACAAGTACGGCAGGAGACAGAACCAAGTGGAGACGTGCAGTTGAAGCCCTATGTTCCACTAGGAATCCAGGGGAACCATTATATATATATATATATAAATTCAATGAGGAAAACATTTGGAGAAAAAACAACCTATTTCGTCGTCTTCTATTCTTTGTGGCTGTTAGACATGATTATTAAAAATGGACAATATGAAAAGGCTAGTTTTTGGCCGATTTCCCATATTAAGTAGTTTAATATGGGAAGTAGTAGTGAGTGTACAGCGCTAAGTAAGCAAGAGAAGTCAGTGGATAGAGTTATAAAGCCATATCGAATGAGATAGCTGGGACACGCATTACTCATGAGGAGTCAGGTCGGAAAAGAGTTAGGAGTACTCACATTAAAACCTAGCAATAATCTATGAAGTCCTTAAATTGTGGTTTGAACCAGACACGCAGAGAAGTGTTGACTGCCTGTTTTGGGTTCTTAGGATGCCAAGAACCAGTTGTTATTGGAAGGCATACATTGCAATTACTTTGTAATTTCCTAGATCCGTGTTTTTATACGTAATTACTCCTCCTCTAGTAAACCTCTGTTTATTATAATTCTTTTGAATTTCTTTTCTCTTTCTTTTTGTGCTTTATGGAGTGTGGCAAGTTGAACTGCTGGAACTCTGTGCAAAGTTCTACCCTGAGACTCAGCCAGTCAGTATTCTTTTCGGAAAGATGGAAAATATTCATAGAAGAAAGCAAATACAACAAGGAGCAAAGATTAAAAAACATTTTGATTCGAAAGCAAATACACTGTTTGCATGAAAATTCGAAGATACAATCTAATTAGTCATTAGGGCATATAAAATTCTTTTTCAAATAACTCACTTTTTCAAGAAACTCAATAGCATTCCATAAAACTTCACAAACACCTTTTGATTCTGTTATTTCCATCATGTCGAAATCAATTAAACGATTAATTGTATTCCAAATGTATTCAGGAGAATGGTCCATGTATTTTGATGCATCATGTTTAGATTGATCATGACATTCACAAACCATAAAGATAAGGAAAACTGAAATAGTAAGTCCACGGAAGCAAGCATCATTCTTGAAAATTCCAACTGCAACATCTGACATAGAATCATCTACAAACTTAGAAAACACTGACCGGCATTCATCTGTCCACAGTGATATATACGAATCACAGCTCAATATTTTCAAAATTGTTATTACTGTCTCCAGTAATCTTTCATTATGTACACTAGATGACAGAGCTGATTGATCTATGAATACATTGTACACTTTGTTTAGTATCTTAAAGAAACAGATCCAAAATTTCTCGTACACATTCATATGTCCATATCTCAAGGCTAACTCTTGAAGGATTTGCATAGTAGGAAATAAGAACACAAAGAAGGCTCTACAGTCACGATGAATTATAAATGAGTCAAGGAGTTTACCAATAAGACTACTGATAAATGACTGCTCTGAAGCCCAATAAATAAGACAAATTTCCTTGAAAAAGTCAAATGCAGCATTCTCCTTAGAGGTTAAATGGTCGCTAGATAGTGATATTAAATAATCCACTACATCATTTATATCCGATAAAGAAATGACTAAAGTGGGTGAACAGCGAAGTAATATCTTGGCTAAAATCCATAAACGTGTATAACACCGTTCTATACAAGAACCTTTCAAGGAGTAAGTAGGATCTACTAGAACAGATAAGATTTTCTTTAACAGCTCACTTCCCGTGTCTAGTTGAAGATATGTATCTGGACAGAGACACAAAGGGTTTATAATAGAAAGTATGCTATCCACTTTACCTTCTACCAACGAGGTGTGCAGAGCAGAGACCCACTCACTTAAAACGAATTCCCACAATTCATGATACAATGTTTGTTTAGTTTTGAAGCACAAACTAATGAGTGATACGCAGAGCTGAGGTAAATCTTTAGAAGATTTTAAATACGAGATCCACGAATTCGTGCTTGAAGTAGTATTTATAATTCCTGTGAAGGTCAAATAAAGTAATTTAACTTGAGCTTGGCTTGAAAATGTATTGTATTTTTCTACAGTGAATTGAAATTCCTCAGGTATAGTTAAAGGGTCGAAGCGTACACCAAACTTTCTTGTAAGCTGCTCTACATGTAGTAAAACATCAACTCCAAAGTCCGACAATTCAAAGCATTTAATAAAAGGCTGTTGATCTACGCAAACTTCATTATTTGTGATAAGATAAAGGAAAATGTGGGCACAGATAACAACAATATTTTTCTGTATATGTACATTGGTTTCCGCAGACAAAATGTGAAGAAATGTCATCAAATTTGGCGAAGTGATCCACAATACTAGCTTCAAATCATCCAAAGACAGAATATTTTCCAAACACCTGGCTAGGGCTTCAGTAAGAATAACTCTGACTTGCTTGTCAGACAAGTTAAGAGAGTAGAGCACAATATCTTGAGGGCCTTTATCCACATTACCAATAAGGAAGGCATAACGAAAAGACAGGGCCACTGCAACTTTCAGGATGATGTGTAGCTCAGTGGTGTACTCATAATTACTATTCCATCGCGAAGCGTGCTTAGAAATTAGATCCCATTCGCTGTTTGATAACTGAGACCAAATTTTTTTGTGAAATTCATGCTGACAAACTATTGATTTGCATAGTCGATTCACTAAGGTATCATCAAGTTTACCAGGGAATTTCGCATCAAAAAGCGATGCCAGCTGGTAACCTTGAGTTTTCATAGGTTTGCGTAAAATCAAGGTCAACAGTTTCCGAGTTCAATATCCAATATCGTTTTTACGAGCTAGTATAAATCAATTTGATTTCTTTGTGCTCGCTTCTTGATTGTAAGGTTTAGGTTCCGGATTTTCGCTAAACTTCTGCGTAACTTGTCCCGCCACTCGACTGTCGTTGCCTTGGTTAACTCCAAAGGGAGTGGTGCTGCGAATAATTATATGTGGTTTGTAGTATGAGGTGTGTTAAGACTGTTACTACCGTGAATGCAGTTGACCCTTTCGCCGGTCAGTCCTCCCATTTCATCGACAAGAGAAAAGAGATAATAATAATAATGATAATAGATATTATTAGTGAAGTTATTCAAACTAACAGACAGAAAAGGAAATAGGAAAGTGTAACAACAGTCAGCGGATTAAACTTGAAGAATTATACATATATATATCGGTAATAATAGTAATAATAATAAGTGTAGTTAAAGTTGTCAGAAGAGTATGACGGTAGAGAATGTGAAGAAGTAAAACGACGAGTTTAGTTATCTAACTCTGAATGGTGTATGTGATTTTAAGGGGATAGGCCATTTGGATTCAGTCCTTGTGTCGCTGCATGGTTGTCCAGCCTTCACCTAAAGGCGTCCGAAGACGGTGTCACAGCTACCTCTGCCGGTGAGGAATTCCAGGGACGGCAAACCCGCAGTGAAAAGAAGTGGGAGCGCACCCTGGTCCTTGCCCTCTGGTGAGCTATCCTTCTGGGATTTCCACGTGGGAGCCTATACCTACTCAATAGCAGAACACCTTTGTTTCGGTGATTCTGGTCATTTGTTATTTTGTAGGCAGTAATCAAATCCCTCCTAAGGCGACGGTAACTAAGTGTGAACAGGCCTAATTTCTTCAGCCTTTCATCATATGGTTTGTTTCGGAGACCAACCACTCCTTTTGTTGCCCGTCGTTGGACTCTTTCCAAGAGGTTGGCGTCTCTTCTCAGCATTAGGGGTGCAATAATATTATGCACCTCAAGGTGTGGCCTGACGTATGTTTTGTACAACATTAGAAAGAGCTCAGGAGTGAGTGCACTAACTGTCTATGCGTAAAGTGTATGACCGCATATGCCCTCGCTACATCCCCTGTGTAATTTACGCTTGTGTCCATTTTTTCCGTTAGAACTAGACCTAAGTCGCGCTTTCATTGCACAGGGTGTAACTTGCATTCTGCAGTCTACAGGTGCGCAACTTCACTACTTTGCACTTTTTCAAGTTGAAAGTCATGCCACTGGCCACCGCCCAGTCTTCCAGAAGGTTTAGGTCTTCCTGTAGCCTATCTGAGTCCTCCGGACACTTTATCGCCCTCCATTTTTTTACGTCGTCAGCGTACAGGAGAGTCGGGCAGCTCAGACGGGGTGGTAGATCATTGATGAAAATCAAAAACATCAGTGGTCCTAGGATAGAACCCTGCGACACTCCTGATGACGATCTGTGCCAAGATGATCGGACTCGGTTAACCTTAGTGCAAAATTGCCTGTCGGCTAGGTAGTCCTTCAACCATGACAGAAGTGGCTCACCTATACCTGCCTGGCTTATTTTATGTAGGAGAAGGTCATGGTGAACAGTGTCAAATGCCTTCTCAAAGTCTAGGAAGACCACATGGACTGGTACGTTCAAGTCCCAGCATGATGTCCAGTCGTCCCAAGCTGACAGTAGGTTAGTGACGCAGGATCTGAAACCATGTTGGGCTTCATGGAGTATATTAGTCCTATCGAAATATTCCCTGATGTGGTCGTCAATAATACTTTCCAGTACTTTTGATACCACTGGGAGTAGAGCTACTGGTCTATAGCTAGTGACATTTTGCCTGCCCCGTCCTTGAAGATTGGAGAAAGGATGGCTCTTTTCCACTCCCTTGGCAGGGTCCCCGAATCCATTGAGTGTTGGAACAAGTCGCACAGGGGTCTACAGAGAGCCTCGGCGCACTGTTTCAGAACAGATGGCCTGATGTCATCACAACCTGGGGACTTCCCAGGTATGAGTCGCTGTAGCTTCCTTAGTACTATTGCGGGGTTTATTTGGGGAGTAGTCGCTAGGTCTTCCTCCTCTGAAATAGTGGTGCCACCATTTTGGTCCGTAACTGTAATATCCACATTGCTGTTTAGCTGTTTAGCGAAGGCTGAACTGAATGTTTCAGCCATCTCCAGACTAGTGAGATATTGACCGTTTGGGCCTACTAAGGCGCATGCCCCTTGGTTTGTCGGTTTTCTTTCCGACATGAATCGGTACAAGTTTTTAGGGTTTGATAGGAGTTTTTTAGCAAGGTTAGCCTGGAATGACCTTCTGTCCCTCCTGACTCTTGCATTACACCGGTTCCTGAGTTCGAGGTATGCATCATGGTCGGTCTGACTCTTAGATACACGCCACGTAAACCAAGCCTTCCGCTTTGCTTGCAGAATACGTTGCGTGCCTCTCTTCAACCATGACGTCTTTCTCTTAGGCTGTGTTGTGACTAAAGGGACGGTATCCGAGATTGCTATATGGATAATCTTTTTTACCACTTCCCAGTGTTCATCCACAGATAGGTCGTCCCATGCTAAGGGCCAGTCTGCGTCGGACAAGAGCCTCCGCATTTCAGCATAGTCAGCCTTGCTGTAGCACAGACATGGTCGCGTAACATCCCATTGCAAACGCTCACGGAGGACAAGATCGAAACCTATGACTGCATGGTCACTGCTTCCCAGAGGAGTCATGATCTGGGCCGATCGACGAGTAGCTGGTCACTAGTTAGAATATAATCTAGTTTTGATGACTTTCCACTAGGGCCCCACCTAGTGTCGTCTCCAACATTCTCAGTCAGTCCCGTGTTTCGAATAGTTTGCAGTAGGTTTCGGCCAAATTTTCCCTTAGCACACCCGGAGCCAAGGTTCAGTGATGGAGCATTGAAATCTCCAGCTATGGTGATTTGGTCGTAGCCCAAATCTCGTATTCCTGTGATAGTGCTGAGCAGTAGCTGATTGTGCTCTGCCCCACAGGTGGGAGATCGGTAGATGCCACCCAGTAAGTGCTTGGTGTGGCCTACGGTGAAATGACACAATATGGAGTCTGGGAGTTCGATAATTGGTGGGTCCGTTGCGCGCACACATTTAAGTTGCCTATCAAAGTATATAGCAACTCCCCTCCTTCCTTATTATCCCTGTTTCTCCTGACCAGAACCATATCACCTATACTGATTTCATTGTCGGCGATAGTGGGGTTTAGCCACGTTTCAGTGAGAATGATCATTTTCAGTTGAAGGTGTGCTTGGAGATTTCGGAGTTCACCTACTTTTCCTCTCAGACCCCTCACATTGCTATATAGTCAGTTGACAGTGTGTCTAACAACCTCAGAGTGTTGTGGGGTAGTTGACGTGATACTGTCTGCTGGTGGTGGATTTAATGTTGGGACTAGTTGGCCGATTCTGATAGCACCGGCCCGTTGTAGTTTTTTCCATGAAATTAGGTAGGACACTTGGGTGACACAGACCATTTGTTAATCACGTCTCATAAACCGTCAATGGCCAGCTCTTGCTACGCTCGGGCCCACGCTGTTCCTTGCAGTTTTTCAGAAACGCTTAATAGTAACGGACGCGAAAACCAAAACACCGATTGGCCGCTTGGGAATTCTTTATTGTAACACCAACATATAAAAAATATTTCTATTAAGGTCTGTTAACAAATATTACAATAATAAATCATAAGATTACTTCTGATGGTTTGCTACTGACTTCTTTCTGAACAGCGACCGATGAGACGATGACTGTCGTATTGATGCCTCCGCGAAAATTGGGGAAGTTGATTTTGAGCAAACAACCAAGAATTGATCGTTCAATCTTCAACTGCATTGACACTCCCCGGCAAAAAAGGGATCCAACCCTTTTTTCCTTCACGACTAATGTACGTTGACTTGGATGCCATTGCGAGAACCTGGGTCACACGGATAGAGCTGAAATGGAAAACAAACAGAAAAGCCAACACACCACAAGCATACCCACAGCACAATTTCACACATCGCTGACGACCTGCGCCTCCAGACAGAGACCTCCTCTTGACATCTTGCAACACAATCGCCACTTGCTCGAATGACTCTTGCAGAATGCAACGTGACCATAGCACCAACTCATGATACTCTACGCACATCCTCTTATCTACTCACTACCAATTACCACTGAAATCGCTTGTCACTCATCCTGCCTCAGTTCTAGTAACGGTGACGCATGCGAGCCTCAGTCGTTTACACTCTTTCTCCCCGGCGTGTCGGACCGCAGCTAACAGTTATCTCCGTGTGCATTTCATTCTCAGCAATAGCATAGCCTCCCCGGCGTATACGACCCATCTGCTGTCCTTAACATCAATCAATTCATTCATGGATGTAGAAGACTCGAAACAACTTCAGAAGTAATCACGACGAAAATTTTAACAAATTTACGCAATATTAACAAGGTACGAAAACAACAATTAAACACAATGAATCCAAAAACCACCAATTGATATGACACACCACACATATATACAAACTGTACACAAAACCTCGATGATCATGTCTTGATGGAATTCCTTTGAAGAATCGCAGGAGTTACACCAGTACACCTACAACCCTTCTCAGGTTGACGATTGTAATTTGTGGAATGTCCGGACACAACCATGATTAATCAACAATTACAATAATTGGAACTCACACAACTATTGAACACAAACATATGTACAATCAACACATCAAATGTTGTGGATTCTGACACGACAAACTACCCTTGAAGAACTGTAGGACTTACAGCAGTACGCCTACATTCCTTCTCAGGTTGATGATCCAAGTGGAAGTCGTCCGGACACAAACAGAATTACCAACAGCTAGATGACAGATGATATCAGTTCAGTATATGCAATATGAGAAATATACTATTGAGAATATACTATTATTATTATTATGAACATATGTACAAAATCACACACCGGGCACATTGAGCTGCTCATTGATGCGGTGCCCTTTGAA